AAAGACGCTTATTCAGAAGAGCATGACCTATAATTTAAAAGTTATAACATAAAACATCTTACCTGGATAGCTATAGAAACTGGCGCTACTGTATATTTTTGCTGAGAGAACAATCCAACGTCAGTTGTACATTATTTCGTGCAGATACCCCAGTCACTTTTGCTCTGATGAAGTCCAATTGGGATAAGAAATCGTTGCCTTGCCCATGCAAAAGTCCGTAGCTACACAGAGCATCCACACAGTTATTTGCTCTTGAATGCGACACGCGCTGATTGCTGTTACTCACGGAGGCATCCGGCAAATCACCCTCTGAGTCGCTGCCTTCTTTCTGTTCTAGTCGGTTCTCTAAAAGTGTACTGACGATTTCATCGTCACCAGTTGTCAGATCTGAGGTACATTCCACATCGTTGTCAATGGCGACGAACTCCTCTTCATTCATGACTGGGATTGTGCAAGCGCTGATCTCGTCTTCAGCGATGACGGCGTCATCAGAAAGTGCATCGGATTCTAGTCGACTGAAGCCAGCATGCCGAAAGCACGCTTTTATTGTTGCACCGGTAACCTGTCTCCAACTTTTTGTAAGGAACTTAATTGCATTGCGCACAGAAATCTTGGCGTTGACATCCACCGCCGATGATGAGCCAGATAACACGTTGTTTTCGATGTGATAAGGAATTCAGTCCACAATTTCCTTTCTGTAACGGGTTCTCAGATTCATAATCACACTTTGGTCCATGGGTTGAAGAATGCTGGCCGTGTTTGTCTGCGGCAATTCCATTTGAATTTCTTTCATTCCTTCTACCTATGGATGTACTGTGCAATTATCCAAGAGTAGCATAACTTTTCGGCCACATTGCCCCCCCCCTTCTTGTATCATTCGAGGACCCACTCGGTAAAAAGTTCTTTCGACATCCACACATTTTTGTTAACTTTTTAACTTACGAGAAATTTAAGTACGTTCACGCCATTAAAACATCGTCGTTTCTTACTTTCTCCTATCAATACTATATTTCTTTTATCCGTGCCAGACATATTCGCACAGCATAGCAAAGTGATCCTATCTATGACTTTTTCGATCTGCTGCGCTTGTCGGCAGCAGAACACAGAGTACATTCTTGAGTTGCTCGGTAAAAACACCTGTTTCCTCTGCATTGTACACGTTGTTGTCATAAAAAGCGTGCAAAAGTTTCGACAGTCGATCCTTCAGCCAATTTTCACAGACTACTCTGTTCTCGGAACTCTTCGTCATGTGCACGTTTATACACCATTTGTGTTCTATTCTTCCATTTTCGCAACCGTCCTTTTGTGGCAGCACAGGTTTTTCCAAGTCCTTCCCCGAATTCTTCTGCCTTTTTCTTCAGAAGCAGGCCTGTAACTGTTTGGTTGTGCTCACGAACCGAGATCATCCAATCAGTCACTGCAGTTTCAATTTCTTCATGCTTTCTACATCGCTTCCTTTTCCGAGAGCTTGCAGTGCCATGCGACAAATTCTGTCGGAGTTCCTTTTTCACTGGCAATCAACCTGGCTAGGGTAGGACGAGAAATGTGTAAATCATGCGACATCTTGACCTGCGACGTTCCTGATGGATATGTTTTACTTTGTGCAAAACGTCCAACTTTTCTGTCAAGGACAAATCCTTTCTGGTACTTGACATACTCGTGTGTAACCAATAGAGTAGTGACAAATGTGGAGCGGAAAGTTCACCCGACTTTGTTCAATTCTCGAGTTTTAAATAGGGCCGAGGGCTTGCCCACAGCTGTCTGTACATTTAGTTTGCTCGTGTATTGAATAACATACGTAAGGTTCTCTGATCTGTCAATAACGCCGCCGACATGTTTGTTGTTCTTGACTACATCGGACTGGCTAACTGTGGAGCAATCTTAATAAAAGAATCAAAGACAGCATAAAAGTGACAAAGGGACAAAAGCACAGCCTATGCAGCTGGGCACTTAAACGGTGGGACGACCCCAGTAATGGGCAATTAGACATTGAAAACTTAGCCTATTTACGCGAAAAGAATTTGTATTTTGAAAAACTGGGCAATAAAGCGAGGTGGGCTATAAACCGGGTGGGCAATAAAGCGGGTTTGACTGTATTCTAATGAGGTAAAGACGCGCAGGTCAAGCGAAACACATGAGATGGCAAGTGCCACTGACAACGGACGCAATGCAGGGCAGTGTTCTCTTGTGCTATATACAATGCAACTCCATGGTATGAATGTGATGTCCAAACGGTCGATTTAGTCGAGCGGAAGAGGTCATTGCAGGGAACAACACTTATGAAATGGTATGAATGCAAACAAGGTAAACCCCGTCAAGCGACAGAATATCAGCAGCTTTGAATGGGAACAGAGAGGAAACAGCGAGCCCAAGAGTTAAAGTTTAAGATCAGAGCGGCCACAGGCGATTTCTAAGTACAGGCATCACACAGAAACAGATAACCGGCCAAATAACCAGAAAGGGAGCGAAGGAACATGGTGAGCAACACTGTCACCTCTCGCGCGAAAATTAAATTAAAAACACAGCTACATGAAAAACGTAAATAATTTTGTAGACGTAAACCACCCGAGATAGGAGGGAAAAATACATCGCTGCTGTTGTTGAGTCAAAAAAACTAGGAGACTTTCGAAACTGAGCCGAGAACCGACAAATAGAAGTACACTGTGCTGGTGCTAAACAAGCCAGGAAGGAAAAATTATTAGCGCCGAGGTGTTGGCGATAGTGTGTATTGCTGTAAAATGTTTTTTAATGGGCCTCCGCAATGGACGTGCGTTCTGACGTGATACAGAATCCAAAAGGGGAAAAGAACTTGCATACCGAAAACCAACAAACCCTGTGCTCTAATGATTGGACGATATGACTCATAGTGGAACAACTTGCCACACTGCTAGTAAATACCGTAGGATAGCTGACAGAAAAGAAACAAGAGCACAGCAAAGCGTACAGGGCTAAAACAAGCTAAGAGCATTGCTAACGAGAAGCACGACGCAGGCGCAGATTTCAATGGTCATGATGTATATACAAGTATTCCGAAGATTAGAACGATGAACAACCAACGAGTTATTTAAAATTACCAGCTCATAGCGTGTGCTCAAACAAATTGTTGCGTGAAAACTCGATTAAAAGATGGTCCCTCCACTAAGTACTGTCACTGGACGTAGCCTATTTCAGGGCGGACCGTGCCCTCTGCAACGTGCATAATTTGCAAGGCAGTGGAGGATAAGACGCTCTACATCACAATTGGCTTGTAAATCATGACAGTCCACCGTTGCGCCCTGTGGCTCAGTGGCATAAGGTGCTGACTGGCGTTACAAGCCGTTGGTGGTCATGGGTTCGAATCCTGATAAAACCAATGGATGCGCACTATTGATGACGCGCAACAGAGTGAATTAAAGTCTAGTGCTTTAGTAGACATGTGAAGGATTAGCTGATTTACAAGCCCCTGCGACGAACTTCTAATGAACTGCATCAATTATGTATTTTTCTTAGAATGCGCAAGTTGAATGCAACCAGGGAAACTAGACAGTGTGGCTGTTGCTGACGTCCATTGGGTGGCGCGGGAAAGCAGCTACAGGCGGTTTGACTTCAGTGGCATTACAGTTGCTGTCAATTAAACTGGGAATTACAGAAGGAAGGCTAGTACTGGGGATTGGAGTAAGGGAAACAGGTGGGAAGGAGAGAAGGGAGGCGACAGCAGTAACATGCTATCCCTTATCCGCCTTGCTGTATGCAGTAGATAAGGCGACCCTTGATAGGCTGCGCGACGGCCAGTGTAGGACGTGGTAAAAGTTTGAGGGAACACTCACGGTTGTACGTGGGCTGAGATACTGCTAGGGCTTCCAGACTTAGACAGGAAAAAGATTAGGGTCCTCATCCAAAGCGTTTGGCTCAAAAGTTTGTCGAAAAGGAAATGAGGAGGTGGTAACGATCCGGTCTTACCGAATTGGATGCTATCCACTTCCAAACCCCAATTGGGAAGATGAAGAGAGGGAGCTCGCTTGACCCCTAACCATTGGTCAAAGTTGTAGGATTAGCTCACAAGGCACCCCGATGTACCGCAAAGAGGGTGGAGAGGGTACGTAAATCGTCGCACCCCATTAAGGTCCAATCTCGTCAAAACAGAGAGAAACCGCCTAGGTGCAAATCTCAGTTGGTTCACATTCGATGGCAGAAGCATAACAAATATTGTTGGTAACCTGCACAACAATACCAGTTGTCATCTTTTCTGAGTAGTCGAGAGGATAAGACAAGATGACCTCGCATTGTTCGCAAGGATGCGCAGTACAGCGTAAGTGAACTAATAATCTAGCAGAAGATCGGAACTGCATAAGAAGACAATTTGGCGATCCCGAAGTTCATGGAGCTTGTCCTTCTTCGGACACGGCGAAAGGTCCGGCCAGCCAGACGTTTGGAACATGATGCAAATATTACATGAAACAAGTGTAAAAATTTGGTCATGTCGAAGACGGCACGTCTCGTAAACCGGAGAATTTATTATTATTATTATTATTATTATTATTATTATTATTATTATTACGCAATGATACAGAGCAATCGAGAACCCCAGTGGGAAAAGTGCAACAAAGTATGGAGGAAGCGAAGGTAAACTGCGCTGCGCAAAAGTGAAGTCATTTGCACGCACACTTTGCATACATGCTTGTGAGTGGGCCCGATAAAGCGGGTTGGTAGGCAGAGTATAGTGTGCTACACCTGAGCATCAAATATAGCATTTTGTATCCAAATAGTTGTGAGGAGTAAAAAGCAAACAGGATTTCGGGAATGCGCGCAAACAAAGGCGAATAAGTAAGAGCAATAAAGTCATCAGCAGTACGCTAGTAGACCGTACCGACGCTTCACTACACGCAACCAACGCCAATCGCAAGTGTGCTAAGGATATTGAGATCCACCCGGTTCCTACGCAGATTCGAACTTGCGCCCTCGGATTACAAGGCAGACTTTGATTCTTAAGACTATGGACCGGTAACGTAAGAGCAACTCACCTCCTTGAGTTCGTGCAGCAAGGTTCAACTGTGCGCGTGAACTGCCTGAGCTGGGGCTCACACCCGGGTTGCAGCCTGTCCCGGCCGAGGTATTATCTTTCGCGGGAAGAACCGGTTTATGAGTCTGACCAGTGGAGCGGTAGATAGCCTGGACCCACAGTTGACGTTCGTTGGCGTCGTCTGACGCAAACGTGGCACTATCCCCTTCTTTAACAAGATTGAAGAAAAACTTCCCACCCAAACCGGTCAATTCTGTGGCGGAAATCGGAATGCAGAGGGGGAGAAAAGCATTTGACATATACAAGGAAAGTGAACAAAATAGATGGTCAGTGCAGTGTGACAAACGTCAGAAGAAATTCTCCACAAAAAATCAATTAGATCCGTGCGGAAATGTTATTGACACTTCAGTTGAGTAATTAAGTCAAGCATCAGGCGATGGTGAGTGAAAACGCACCGGAGGGAAAGGTACGTGAGGGGCGGAAAGGGAATTGCAGCGATATGAAAGCGATCGAAAAGTGACAACTGAACTGGGGTGAGTGAAACAAAAGCAATATGAGGAGAGGACCGGTAGAAGTGAAAACCGGCAGATGTGTACATGTGGTGGAAAGTAAGGCTGGAGCGCATATGGTGAGCAATATCCAGTGGAAAGGAATAAGAAACGTTATTTCATCAACCTCGGTAGGTTTCCATTGACCGCACGTTCAAAAGTAGCTATTGATCAGTTGCGTTTTTATCATTTAAGGAGCTTGATGCTACGATCACTTCATTGAGTTGTATGGCGACTTAATAGCTGACTTCTTATGAATGTGCAGATTGATAATGATGGCAACTGTGAGGCTATCCGAGTGCGCGCAAAGCAACGTGCGGCAAAAAGCACGCGGCTACTTGTATGGTTTTAATCATCCGTGAGTAATACACAATAAAAGGAAATATACTATTCACGCCAGTGGATGATGGACAGTGAGAAGCGCCAACACAGCGCTACAGGAAACTACGATCAACAGTCCCACCGAGAGCTTTTGGGCATTGTGGCCAAATACAGAGATGTGAGTGAAGTTACATGGGAGGAATTGTTTGAAAATGAGATAAATAAAGTAGGATGCTTCGAAGGAGCCTTAAAGTAGCAGCATATAGGTAAAACTGTCTACAAGCGAGGTACCCCGCTTAATCAATTGCGAAAACAGCACCCAAAAGCCATTAGGTACAGTAAAACGTAGGTGGGACTGGGAGCGACTACAAAATGAACGCTGGTCAAACAAATGTATTCCAGATCACAACATCCACTTACCAGGGAAAGCGTCGCAAAAATCCACAGTGAAACCCTCCAAATGCATTATCTCAGAGGGATCCGATTTACGCTGTTTGTAGGAAGCCATGATAAACGTATACTGAGAGACCTGAGGAAATACAAAAGTCAAGTGGACGAAGCTAGCTCCAGAAGCGAATATTTTAAAATTGAGGAAAATGAGAAGCAGAAATAACAGAAATAAGTGAGCGAACCAGAGAACCAGTAACATAGTTGAATATGCCGCAATAAAATACCCTAAGTTCACATTACATATAATGCAATTCAATGGTGGAACAGTCATCTGACTAAACACTGAGCGGTAGTTAAACATACAATGAGTTTAGCGAATAGTCAGTACGTGATGTGTATCCACATGATCTATGATATGATAAAGATGTATGGTAGCGATGAGTTAGGAAAAGTACAGTGAGGCGAGACCTCATAAAGGAACGATCAGTTTAAGCAAGTTGTCAAATGCATCAGACAAACACCAATTTGTGCAGGTAGGTTGTTTCAGAAGTCCAACATTTGATGGAGAGGTGGAAAACGAATGGTGTTCAAGGTACATAATGTGAAGCGCATTTTAAACTGACGTAAATGGGTGCTGAAGTGAGGATCATTTCAATGCGTATAACAAACAATAGCCTTATATGAAGGATACCTATTGGCACAGGAAGTAGGTGCAAGTCGCGAAATCGAAATGCCGTCGGTGGTGAAAGCCATCAAGCATCTCATGATCGGACGGTTGACGCTGCGGCAACTATGGAACCATGTCTCGTCAACAAAGCTGCGGAAAGTCCTAGCTCGTGAGGCTAGCTACTGTCCTCTGCACAGTTTGTAACTGGCATGGCAGTGGAAGATGAGCCGGGCTATATCATAGTCAACTGTCAATCACGCAGGTCCGTGGCTGTCACCCATGGCGAAGTGGCACTAGCTGCTGGCATCCTGAAGTCATGGGGGCGGAACCCGGCAGGGGTCCGCTGGGAGGCGCACCACTGACGAGACCCAGGTCGAAACGCCGGTGACGATGATGAAGTAGCTGGATTTGTAAATTACTATACCATCACAACAGCGCATCGCTTTGCGATAAATAAACCCCTGATCGAAGCCCATCCTAATGTATCGCGCCTTCGCTGGACCACACGACAGAGGAAAGCAGCGATGCTCGCACTGCATCGCCTAATGCTTTTAACCAAACAAGAAAAGCCAAACGGTATCGAACTGATGACATTCTCAATGACCCCGAATGGGATAAGTGAACTAGGTATCTGCGATCCAGGTGCAGTAAGCACCCAGCCTTGCAGCCATGCATAAGTGCGAGCCGGAAGGATGCAACGAGGTAGTCAACGTCAAGAACAATCACGAAACGGACGCGTGCTAATAGACTGGGACGTAAGTGAATACCGATCTAAAAGAGACAGTTGCGCTTAATACGAAAAGCACAGAATCCAAGAGAACGTTCACTCAGAACAAAACTCAGATAGTTTAGATACAATGCAACAATTACTTTGCCGAGGACGAGAAACAGGGTTCTGATAAATTGTCGAATTGCTGATGCAGATGATTTCTAAAGGGACGTTAGACTATAACATGAGTTGTTGTGTGTCAATGAATAATAACACCAGTTGAGAGAGAAGAGGGGCAACCTAGTATTGTCCCAAGCATTCGAAATACAAATTCAACAACACCTGAGGAATGTGAACAAGGCCTCAAGTACAAGACTGTTTACTTGAACGCTGATGCAAAGCTCCCGAATAGCAGTGCAGCAAACGCACCATGAGATACACCACTGGGTTTTATCTTCTCTTAAACAGCCATTAGTGAAGGTCAATTGGTAACGGTGCTTCGTTTCGTTTCAAAAGAGAGAGGTTCACGTTGAAACAAACACATCGTAGCATATGTGACGTCAGCGTTACATGAGTCTAAATGATCTGGCAAATGGTGGTGGCAGAACAGGTTTACTGAAATAGTTTACAACATGCTCCATCCGGTGATTTATCCAATGTATGAGAATGTGGAATGATGATGAAGTTTATCAGCCACCGACTAAATGAGAAAGTCCTTGGACCATTGCTCCGGATGAATTAAAAAAGTACTCCGTTGTCCATAATTGTATTGGGCATCTTTATCCTATAAAGTCCCGTCAACCACCAAAGCACCTGATATCTACTAACTATCTGAGTCAGACACCGTTTATGGCAGTTATGGGCATTACAGTTTATGTGCATTAGTTAAACGAAACGATGTTCAAGAAATCCATGCACAAGTAGGATGTATCAGAATGCTTGCCAGAGAAGCCACATATGCCTTTTCACAGCAGATTGGGGCCCACTCCAATAAGTATCCGGTTCGTTCACTAGGGACAGATGGTGAGGCACCGCTGAGTCGTAAACCCTGAATTCAGTTAGGAGGAGGCTAAGGTCTCGAACTTTGTCGTCTCGCTGAGATCATGAAGGCGTGCAATGTGGCGTGAACGAAAGTTAGTGATTCAGATCCAACGAAAATCAGGTAACGTAATGCGTCATCCGAGGAAAAAGATTAAATGAGAAAAGAAAAAAGTCTCGTTTTCTAGTCACTAAGTAAGGCGACGCGATGGTCGATATAGAGGAACGGCGTAGCAGTGGGAAAACTGGGCTCCATATACAGATGGAGAAACCGACCACTGACATTCGTCTGGTACGCAATGAAGTTAAAACATTGAAAGTGGGGGAGACTGGGAATAGCCGGATTTTGAGTTAATCGTAAAACGGTGGCACACAATTGAACACAATTTAGAGTTTCTGAGTGAACTCTCCGTTCATTTGTGAGATCATTTCGAGACCTATTTTTACCGCTACTTGGGCGCACCTATTAATTTGGAATTTGTATATCGTGCTGCAACAGATTTACCGGTTAGTTGGAGGGTGATTCTGAAGTACACGTTGTGCGATTGCATTGTGATGCGCAACATCAATGTGGACCGGGATTCACATTGAAGCGAACCTTTGCTAAGTTGATCATTAGGACCGTAGCTGAGGCGTATGGGAATTGACTGTTATCAGTCGGAAAACATTAGGCTCTACCGCGCTTTCGACTTTGAGCACAGCAGGCCTCGAACCAGGACCAGTGGGATCTTAGTTGGGACCTGCCCCCATTTAGCCACCGGGTTGCAACCAGTGACGCTTGAGATAAAGGTTAACGACTAGGTAATGGGCCATTTTGAAGTACTTGTGGGAATGGATTGCGACACGCAATCACATTGGGGACCGTGATTCGCATTGAGGATTTATTGGATAGTTTTGGCAAATATAGGAACACACTCGAAATCTTGTCGCTATTAACCACCGCGGGTGCAATTTCAATTGTCAATTACTGACCATCACCGAAATTTCTCTGATCGGCCTATGATCCCTGCAATGAATACTGCTACACTTCTATGATCATACCATAAAGAGCGTGCTGCGTATAGTCGAAAACAAACTTCATCTATTTATTGTTTGCAAGATAATGTCCAAAGTCTGACGAGCGGCTATAAGAAAAGGTTGCCACCTCAATATTCGCAGTTATCTAAATAAAGATTGAGAATAGTCAACAGAATTTATACTCGATGAGCACCGAGCAGCAGTCATTTGTGGTGCACAAGGGGACAATAGATATGCCCTCTGCCTTCGGACGATGATCAACAATACAACACGTAATGTTCATCAGTCAGATGTGCGGGTCGTTACAAAAGGTGAATTGTGAAATATGGGCGGGAGTACACCGTGGAAGCAAGGAGAACATCAGACAAGTGGAAACAGCAATGAAAAGGAAGAAAAAAGGCCTCTACGGTATTACTAATACACAAGAGGCTGCTATTACCTGGACTAAGCATATATACCGTCTCTTCCATTTTCTGAACGCGGTGCGTCCTAGAGCATACAGATAACCACAATACTTTAAATTTGTAGGCTTGTCCATGCGTACAGTTAGAAGGATGTCCAAATCGCCTGGTACACCCTTCACGGTTTGCAGTTTGTACCATTCCGGTTGTCGGCTACCAGCACACGTCGGATTAAGAGTTACCTAAGGAAAAGGCGGTATGAGACAAAGGAGGAGCCACAGATGAAAGTAGTGATACACTTATGCAAAAAATATTGAAGTTACATGTCAACAGGAGCAGGTATGTGAGGAAGTGAACCACATAATGGTGAGGGCAGGTTGGTTAAAAAATGTATTAGCATGCAGGATGGACAACAAGGAGAGATTGTAATTTGACGGAACGCACAGCGCGTTTGAAAAAAGCACACGGTCGGGAGATACTCGTGCCCCAAATGGCACACATACTTTGCCTAGTTCTTTTCCACTTTCAAGTGACAGGATACCGGATGATTCCATGTAAAGTTTGACCTTGACTACCGGTAGCGGTTGTGAAGTTGCGAAGTCTCCCTGAGTGCCCCAGCTTGACATAAGGGAAAAATGCATTGTTCAAAAATATGATGCGGTGCACAGACGAAACACGGGATCGGTAGAGTGCATAAGAGCAAGCGCGAAAAGAAGCGTTATTACTTTATTATGCGACGCAGGCTGTGGGATACAGCTAAGGGACGCAGTAGATAAGGAAGGGGAAAACTGGGTAACGGAAACCTGGCTGCAACTAGAATTTGATGGTTAGTCGGAGTCTCCAAATACGAAAAGTGGTATCGATGATTGTCCATATGGAGTGTTAGCAAGAGATGGCCACCGGCGTTTTGATACACTGTTGTAACGAGGTGAAGCCATGGCATCAGACACCAATGTGGACAAAAGTAGAAAACGAAAAAGCTGCAAATGACAAACAGAAGCTGGCGGCAAAATTTCAAGTGTCTTAATGGACTGACTGTTTAGCCCCACACTGTTTACGCCAGAATCATTATAACTCCAAGGACCCACCCATTCCGTAATGTACCGATCACCCGCACGTGAAAAGATGAAGCCCCAGAATGTCTAGATGACGGGACGGCATAAAGGAACGAATAAAACAATCACACGTTCGAACTGAGTCCATGACCTGGTGTACAGTGGGCATAAACTCACTACAAAAATATACGTGCACACATCTGTACGAACAGCAGCTAATGCACAAGTCACATTTTCACACAAATAACATTTGAGCTTTCTGTAATGGACTCAGTGTCCCTTGTTACTAGATTTCAACTTACATGTTTGTATTGACGCTCGCGTCGCTTAGGATTCACACACAAATTTTGGCTCCACTCTACCCGAACTAATAAAAGTGCCGCTGCCAAACTTTAGTTTTTTGATTCATCTAGCTAGCGGGTAAGCCGCGGGGTGTCTCGTTTCATTACACATAATCGACCACTCGGGTGGCAAAGATTAGCAAAAGCGCCCCGAGCTTTCGCTACACGGTTCGCGATCTCATCTTTGATCCCAAGGGCGGATACAACTTCCCAGAGAGTTGAATTGTTGAACGACTTCAGCTGATCCCCACCAAGGGCCAGCACAGAAGGCAGTCCCTACCAACCTTAGAGTAAAGCTATGCACTTCGATGGTGCAAAGTATAGTCCGAAACGGCTGACTTTTCCACTTCACCAGAAAAGAAATACTCGTGCCTGCCACAAATCCAGATTTGTACCGAGGTCTTGGAAACTACCTCCACATTTTGTTACCTGGGAAGTGTACTTTCGACTGAGCTGCAGATGATTAGCGAGCTACACATCCGCGTACTGAAGACGGCTACCGCATTCGAAAAACTGGAGAACTAGGTGTGGAATATGCAACAGCTGACCATTGGGACGAAGTTGATGGTTCTGTCCGTTATTCTATTCGGCAGTGAAAGCTGGACCCTTTATCGGAAGGATGTCCGTTATTAGGAGTGATTTTAACAACAGTGTCTGCGTCATATTCTGCGCACCATCATGGGTGACCGAGTTGTTGACACGGAGGCGCTCAGCCACAGTGATATGTATGCAGTGAACTGTATGCTTCTGCTAAGGTTACTGCGGTGGCTCGAGCAAATCAGCCGTATGGATTTCACGAGGATAACCAAATAGCTTTTGTATGTCCAACTTAGTGCACGGAAGCGGCACGTTGAAAAACCGAAGTGATCAAGACAGGATTAAGATGAGTTTACCACGAAAGAATCCAACTTCAGTTGTTGGGAAGCGATAACAGCGGATCGGCGCCAATGGCGATTGCCCAAGTGTCTAAGAAATCAGCGCCGCATGCGGAAAAGAAACCAGGTAAGAAAGCGACAGGCGCTGATGGAGTCTAGTCTATAGAGGTCGAGCACACTGCTGCAGCCCATGAGGTCGCGAGTGGTTGAGCGAAGCAGGCTTGGTAAGTCACCGGCGTCGCAACGAAAGCCCAAGCACTAAGAGGCGACGAGTCAGTTGAATCAGTAATCACTATCAGTGCAGCGCTTGATAAGTATGCAGTATCCAGTTAAATTCCATAACCAAGTCTACTAATGCGGCCGATGTGGTACGTGTGCTACATCATCGCGCATCGGTTTGTACGTGCGCCCGTGTGTTGAGTTACCTGTATTTCAGCTGTCGGTTGTTGATTGAAATCCCCAATGTGGCTGCGCTTGATGCAAATGTGGACGAAGTGCTGAACATTAGAAAAACCGCTATCTCGGTTACACAGGTTCCAGGAGACAGGTTGTTGTTGTATAAGGAGATGGACTGCACAGTAATCGTGACCGTGCTAGGCTTAAGGAGTGGTTCCATGCATCTGGTGTGGAGCGGACTACGGTCCATCCACTACGCATGATTACCCACTTAGATTGACAGGAGTGCCACTGCTGTGCACGTTGAAGGAGTGTGAACTTGCTCCGTTGATGAAACATAGCTTCCACCTACGTGCCTTCTGGTCTTATTCTTTCGGGTTTAAATTTGATATGAGATGTGTGTGGGCGCAACTCACCCATAGTCACTTAGTAGGCGCATGCGTCCTGTGGTTGTCCCATGGATGCCAAAGAGACAGGTGAATCCGGAATCGGATGCTCCCAGCCATATATACTACGGAAGAGCACACGGCCCACTGCCTTTGTAGGGACCAAATCTTGATGGATGGACAAGCCACTGTTCTTGCCTTGCCGCCGACGCGTGCAATGGGGGCCTGCTCGTGGCGACCGCTGGATGGGAGCTGAGCTACAACTTTCATTTAGGTTAATCGATTGACGCATTTCTCCGTTGCCTTTCGAGAGTACATTTTACCGAAGGATTTGGATGAGGACCGGGATCGTCCTCTTGTTCAGGTGTGAACGCCCTGGTAGTGTTTCAGTCCGGCTACTAAATATGACCTGCATACGTTCCGCTACCCACATACTACATCAGGCGTCGCGCGGTAGAAAAGAAAACAATCACCTTATCCGCTGCACCAGTGGGGTAGATATGAGAAAACAGGCCACCGCTGGTGCCTCTTTTCTTTCTTCTTCCCATTCTCCGCCACACTCTCCCTTCCCAGTCCTTATTTCACCTGACACCCTACCGGGAAGCGCCATACCCACACAAGTTATTGATCAATGTTTCAAACTCTGTGCTCGCCTCGCTACCCTCTGCAAATGCAATCCTCGGCCGAACATGCTACATCGCGCCCTACGGCACCAACATTCAGTTACATTATTCAACGTATGTTCTAATCTCCCATACTTGGTAATCCCTCGCCGTTTCCGAGTCCACAACACCGTGCCGCCCTGGGTGAGTGTTCTCGCCATACGGATCATGTACTTAGGTTCGAGGGTGCCAAATAGCACTGGCAAGCCTTTTCTAGCGCCCCGTTCCCAATTTAAGCTGGTAAGCTTCAGCGTTCGGACGCTGATGCAAATCTGATCATAAACAGCCCTTGCTCGCACGCTTGAGACTACTGCCATTGATGTCTGATGTGTCGCTAAACCCAATTACAGGACCATAGCACGATGTTACCACTAATTTCACCATCTGCGAGTTCACTGGCGTTCTCACACTGCGTTTATCTGGAGACACGATCGCCGAAGCCGCTGGTGTCGCCGGCGTAGGGACTGCGTTGAGCATACGTATTGACGCCGCGCTACTAGAATGGACCCCTATCAACAGTTGTCTCTGCGCGATCCGACTTGATACCTCAGCGCGACGGTCCAGCCGCGTACGTTTCCACAGAACTACAGTCTAGAGTAAGTTAAAAAGGAGTTCTGTTGTCAACTCTCCGATTTTCCCCAAAAAAGTGCCCTAAAGACATCGTGGTGCTTGCCGTAGACTTAAACGCGCACGTAGGCAGACTTGAGGTTGACGAGTGTGAACTCAGTGGTCAGTATGGCCATGGTACTTGGAGATCAGACTACAGTGATCGACTACTTCAACTCTGCACTGATCACGGCCTTTTTCTTGTCAAGTATTAGCTTTCGGCAATAATGACACCAACGCACCACTTGGAGATCTCCATCACCTGGCCATTCGTGGACACAAATTGACCAAATCGCCATCAGTTATTGCTGGTAGGGCTGCATACAGGATGGAAAATCCATTTGGAGTATTTGCCTCACTTCAGATCACGCGCTTGTTTCCGCCAAGATGGTTCTAGGTTTTAGTGGCCGCCAACAGCGTCGCCCGAAACGGCTTAACTTGGCTAAGCTTTCCATCTCAAGCGTTTCTAACGCCTTTCAGGACGCATTGACCTCAAATCGCAAGGGCCCCTCATGCCAAGACATAGAAACCCACTCGGCACACATCCGTAGCGTCATTCACAAATCTGCAAGCCAGGTCTGTGGTTTCACCAGTAGCTCTGTAAAATCTTGGATGTCTACTCGATTTCTCCAGCTTCTCGAAGCCCGTCGAACAATTTCTGCCGGCGTTAGGCACAATTTACTGCGCAAAACCACAAACGATGAACTCAAACAGCTCCTCTGGGAGGATGGCGAGGCCTGATGGACGCAGCGGGTCATTGGTGTGGAGTAATAAGCCACCTCCGGGGAATTCCCGAAAACTTTTCATCCTGATCCGATTCACTGATGGCAGACCGCCGACTGTAAGAGAAGTCTTGCGCATAACAAATGGCGCGCCGATTCACTATCAACAACGTCGACTTGTTGACTGCAGCTTAAATGACCAGCAACACTTCGGAATCCAGTGCTGCCTGGTGTTTGGGCGCTTCATCAGCATCTGAAGATGAGGTTGCTGATAAGCTCCGCTTCCTAAATTGCTACAAAGCCCCTGCACCAGAAAAAGTTCCTCCGCCTCTTTTCAAAGGTGGAGGTCCGTCCTCTGTTCGGGAGTTAAGTTCCCTACTCCAAGAGATTTGGCTCACTGAAGCAATACCGTCCGGTTGGAGTCTAGCGGACATCGTGCCCGTGTGCGGACGGACTGCATTAACCACAGAGAGATTAGTCTCGTCTGCGTTGCACCCAAAGTGCTTGCTGTTCTGCTTTCAAGAAACAACAACATGGTACGCGAAGAGAACATGCGCAAGGAGTAAGCTGAGTTC